AAGACACAGTACTGTGAAAATGAACACCGCATTCAACAGCGAGTTTATGACGGGTGATAAACGCGCCAATAAAAGTGTCAATACTAGAAACTATGAATTCTTTCGAGTGTCAAATGTGAACGAATGGAGCAGCACGTCATCGAACTCACATTGGCATCGTTCGAAGAGTTCCAGGAACGCAACAGTGGATTCTCAATTTGAAAGGAAATGTGAATAAATATAATCCTCTATACGCGGGATATTACATCGAGTTACCATGAGAAATTATGTTGAAACGAGCGGTGATCAATGTACGATCCAGAGATAATGCATGTTTCGTGTGGTCAGTGGTCGCGGCTCTGCATCCAGCCGAAAGGGATACAAATCGGGAATCGTATCCGCATTATACGACAGTGTTAAATTTGCAAGACATTGAATTTCCAGTGACATTAGATCAAATAAAAAATTCACAACTCCATCTCCATTAACGTTTTCGAGGGAAAGGAGATTCTCCCAATACGGACAACAAGGAAAATGGAGAAACACGTAAATTTACTGTACGTGCAGGATTCGCGCGATGACAACGCGGGACACTTCACATGCATAGAACCTGTCCCGCCTCGTGAGTTCGCAACTGAATAGATACGGACACAAGAAATACTTTGCGATTGATACGTATATACATACATTTTAACAAATTATATAAGATTTATTATATATATAATTTTATTATATAATTTATTATATAATTATATAATATTATAATATTATATAATTTTATAATTGTTTATTAAATACTAAAAAAATCATGTTTTCCTTTTTTGCAATTGTCTATACTATTTCAGTTCATCTGAAAAATTGCAGTCGTATACAATAGACTGCGAACGGATGAATGACTACACCATCCGACTGCCGAGCGAGGACAAGTAGCTCACATTTAAAAACCACTTGAATAAGGAACGACTTTCGTTTATCGTGTACGCAGACTTGGAATGCGTACTACAAAGGACATAACCAGAGAAAGAAGACGCGTCGTACACTTATCAGTATCATGGTGTAAAGAAACAAGGTGTGCTCTTGCGCATGAAAATGAGGATGGACCAATGAAAATTGTGAAATAGTAGCCGGCCATATTAATCATATCAGCCAATCAATGTTTTTCTCGCGATATTCAAAATATATTATAGTATAAATAAGGAAAGAACAATTAATGAATTTATTTAATTGAGAATTACTATTGCGATTTTTATTATTAATAATTATTAAATCTTCTATTATCAAATTACATCACGTAGTCACAAATTTGTTTATTTTACTATTATTTTCCAATATGAAAGGCAACTTGTTCCAACGCCATATCTATCCAAATTGGGTCTACCTAACGAGCATATCTTGTTTTCTTACACCATAAACAGCACGAGGTATTTAGCGATGGATACTGTGATGCTCGTACAACGACGCATTATCGGCGTATCGGTTTCGTCGCGATGAGGACTGTGTTGCATGTTTCGTGCGACAACTCGAAGACTTGGCACATTGAGTAAAAATTTTATCCGCGAATGTTCCTATGGAAACGTTGTCGAGAAACCAGTAGGAAACTTATCGTAGCGCGACGTGTCATTGTTTGTGAAAAACCATTTGCGTTGGACGACACGCGGATACATGATCACTTTACCGCTCGTTTTCATAATCCCGCGCATTCCAATTGCAATTCAAATTATAAAGATTCATACTGCATTCCCGTAGTCTTTCATAATTCATCCGGTTATGACGCGCACTTTGTCATCACGGAAATCGCTACGGCGTTCGAAGGCAAGTGCTGTCAATAACAAAAGAAAAAGACATTTCGTTTATTAAACACGTTAAAGATATTACCGAGAGATCAGATTCATGAAATTGCGTACGACTACGATTCATTGATTCATATAAATTTTTAAGTATTAGCCTCGATAAATTGGCATCTTTTCAAGGGAAAAATTAAAAATTTAACAACTAAGATTCTGCTTGCCGAGAAATTGCCGTTGTTTATTAACATGACTCGGCTTATACAGGGTGTCCCAAAACTACTGCATTTTTTTTAAGAGCAGATTCTTTGAAACATTCTAAGAGCATATAAGTGCATTAAAGTAATATTTGACATATTAATAATATTACCACCAAAAGTTTACCATCTGAATTGGTTGTATTATTTTGACATTATAATATGAGGTAAATAAACATTGTAATGAATTTTTTTGAGCTATCACAGCTACCACATGGTATAATAAGTCGTTATTGATTAGATATTTTGCGATGTTATTTTGCGATATTAATTGTGTAATATACAAATAAGTTCCGAAACAGAAATAATTTCTTAAAAAGAATGTCATATATATTTCTGTGATATTCTCGAGGTTGTAAGAGGACCATCGTGGCGGAAATCACTTGTCATATCACCGTGTCTGAGCGCACGAAATATCAGCTCTGTGATTAGTAAACTTTAATCGTCAATAATTTAAAAACTATTATAGCCTTGACATTTTCGTATTAAGACTTTCATTAAATGTTCCATCAAAGGATCTGCTCTTAAAAGGAAATGCAATAGTTTTAGGACACCTTGTATATATTAATGTACTGTTTATTCTCACGTCGGCTGAAAAAGACGTTTAACATATTATTTATCTGAATATTGCTATAAACATTACCATAGCTTCAGTGGTCTAATAGATAAGACGTTTGCAGGAAAAAAGAGCAGACGATTCAGCTTCGATCCTTAGCTGAGGATATTTTTCGCAAAATATAACTCGCGTAGGGGGAGGGGGATAATAAAAGGATTTTAATCGATATCAAAAATTATTTGATATCAAATTATTATAGCACCATTACGTTGAAAGTCCGCTAAAACTAAGTGGCACGTAATTAGTAATATAATTATTTGAATTTAATTCACTTAAAAATTTAGCAACCAAAATCCTACTTGCCGAGAAATTGCCATATTTCTCATTGTTGTTTAAAAATTTTGCGTTCCGAATTTTCAATATTATCAAACGAAGATTTTTACCTATTGACGCGTAAAAGTGTTTCCCTACGAATATGTGGATCGCGCGGACAAGCTGCAGGACACGCGCCTACCATCGCGCGAATTATTCTATAGCTCATTGATCGGTGACACAGTGTCAGAGAACGCGTACGTCACGAATGTCTGGCAGTAGTTCTCTATTGTAATCTTAAGCGAGTACAGTGATCTGTATTTAAAAACCAATGTCTTGTTATTGGCCGTCGAAAATCTTATGAAAATCGAAAGTTACAATCTCGACATCGCGCATTACTACACATTGTCAGATTTCACATGAGATGCCATGCTGAAACATACGCGCGTAAAATTTGAGTTGCTCACTGACATCGATATGATTATGTTTATCGAATGCGGTATACGCGGTGGCTTCAGTCAAATGTTCCGGCAGATATGCGCAGGCCAATAACAAGTACATGCGTTTGTACAACCCGTCGAAACGGTCGTCGTACTTGATGTACTATAACGTGAACAATCTATATGGATGGGCGATGTATCAATTGCTGCCCTATGCCGAATTTCGATGGGTTGAAGGTATTGCAAATTTTGACGCGAGCATGATCGCTCCGGATTCGCCTACGAGTTATATTCTCGAGATCGATCTCGAGTATCCGCATCATCTGCACGACCGACACACTGACCTACCTTTCTGTCCGACGCGCGATAAACACCAGGCCCGCGGCAGGATAAACTTCTCGCGACGCAATAAGAAGCGTCCACTATCACTACTTGCAACAATGAACGCGCGACGGTACATCTTCGCAAAGACACACCGCGTACTACAATTTACTCAATCCGCCCGGCTCCATAATTATATCGAATTCAATACACAGTTTAGAACATGCGTGAAAAACGATTTCGAGAAAAATTTGTATAATTTGATGAACAACGCGGTATTCGGTAAAACAATGGAAAATATTCGGAATCACATAAATGTAAAATTGATAACGAAATGGGATGGACGGTACGATGCGGAGACCATGATCGCGAAATCAAATTTTCACAGTCGCAGCGTCTTTGCGGAAAATTTAATGGCTGTCGAACTGCGTAACCTCGAGGTGAAATTCAACAAGCCGATTTACGTGTATACTCGACATATCTGCTTGTACGAATTTCATCACGAATACATGTCACCGCTGTATCCCGACAAATGCAAGATCATGTACACTGACATGGACAGTCTCATATACCACATCGAGTACGACGATAAAACGCGATATTGCTAGATTCGATGAGCAATTATCCGACGGACAACGCGAACGGGATGCCTCTCATGAATAAAAAAGTATCCGGCCTATAATGAAGGATGAAAATAATGGTGCGATAATGACGGAATTCGTCGGACTCAGAGCGAAGATGTACGCGGTGAGGGTAGACAGTAAAAAGGATATCAAAAAGGTGAAAGGTGTAAAGAGTAACGTCGTAACGCGAACAATAACGTTCGACGATTACACGCGATGCTTGAAAGAGATAAATTCTCGTTAGTCATGTATAAGATTCAAGGTACACCAAGTATATACGGTATCCGAGTCGAAAATTGCTCTGAGTCCGTACGATGACAAATGATCGTACCGGATTCGACGGAGACGTTACCGTGGGGACATTGGCAGATACCGTTGTAATATACATGTATATATAATGTACATATATTTTTATATTTTTATATATGTAGTATACGTATGTATGTATGTATGTATGTATGTATGTATGTATGTATGTACGTATGTATGTACATATTTCTTGTATTTATATATATTTTTTATATATATTTGTACACGTATTGTATGTTTATTTGTACATTTGCATATTTTGTATTTTATGAATATATGTATAATTATAATACACGTGTAATTTTTTATATTCTACGAAGATCTAATTAAAGAAAGGGAATAATAAGATTGTATATTTATCTTTAATATATTATAAAAATAAAATGAATTAAATCACACTGTTTTTGTTTATCCAAGAATTATGCGATCCATCGAATCTTAGCCACTTGACATAAAGAATTATGTGATCCATCGATTCCCAGCCACTTGTCTCCTTTCCTGCGCAATACTGTCTCCACGAGATACACGTCCAGATGAGTCGCGCAATGCAACTCGTGCTCGTAGAACGCTCCAGTGAATTTTCCGTGATAGTCCTCAAGCAAATAGGTTACGAGATTAGTACGCTGCATTTTAATGATTTTAAACACCTCGGTGGTCTAATTTGGCGTGTAATCTTTTTCGAAAATCTTTTTCTGTTTTGTACCTCACGCGTACCGAATCACGCGTACCTACTTTGAATTTTGCTGGACCTGCGATCTTTATCGCGCTGTACACTGTGTCCAAGAGTCTTTTGGCGATCGCGGGAGTTACGTCAACGGGTCGCAAGTCGATAGTGCTATACTTGCGCACATTGTAATCTGACACGAGACACGGTAGCGCGTCCACCCACTTGTAAGTGCCGTTGAACGTAAACATCTTACACATGTCGTTCTTAAGCGTGCGATTGAATCGTTCGACGATCGGTGCCTTCAACACGTATACATGGAATAATGAATTAACGTTGTGTTTTTTTTAAGAGTTTCTGCACATCGGCGTTGTAAAACTCCTTTTGTATATCCGTTTGCAAGTTTCTCAGGCATCTTCCGCTCTCTCGAATTATCTTAGCGATAACGTTAGCCGTCTCGCTTCCGACCTTGCTCTTGAGCAGTACGGCCCAGGCGTACTTACTCAACGCATCGATGACGGTGAATATATAGTAATAACTTCTGTTGAAACTCGAGTACGGACGCATCTCGACGATATCAGTCTGCCACAGTAGTAATATAGGGTCGGTTCTAACCCAGAAGCGTTGAGGGGGTGCGGGTGTGCGGGGGGAACGGACGGCGCGGGGAAGAGAGGAGGGGGAAGTCCGAGGCGGCGATCCTTTGAACTGAGCCGAGGGGGGGGTAGTGAAGAAAGACGAGGTGAGATAAATAAATAGTAGGATAAGATAGCAAGGCGATATAAACAAAATGGGCGGCGAAGATGATATAAAAATTGCGCGTGGACATGACGTCAGAGGGGGGAGGGGGGGGTCGCCGCCGCCGCCGCCGCCGCCACCGCCACCGCCGCCGTCGGTAAAAAAAAATAAATATCTCTCTCTCTCTCGTATTATTTCTTCCGTTGCGGCTCTCTCTCTCTTATGGCGAATGTTTATTTTTTTCTAATTTATTTTATGGGTGGGGAAGAAAGAATGAAAGAAATACATTTGTTTTTTTTGCATTATTATATATTGTTTATTA